AAAAAGAGGAAGCCGGTCAAAAAGGCCCTGAAGTCAGAAGTGAGGAAATTAAAATCCTTCAACTCAGCATGGAGGCTACTTAAGCAACCATAATAGAGTCCCAGAAGGAATGCACAGCTTTTCAAAGAAACACGGAAGGCAAGAAAAATAAAATTAGCATGGGAAAACAGCAAGGTTCAAGAGGTTATTTAAGCCAAACAGGTAGAATTCAAAAAGAAGTGAAAACCTATCTGAAGGGAAGGAACACAACTCATGGAAGGTTCTCCCCATCGTGAAAAAATTGTTCAAAATTGTGGTGACTGAGAAATGGTTTGGGCTGAGGGAAGGGGGGGTGTGTGAGAGAGAGAGAGAGAAAGAAGGAGAAAATAATTAATGAAAGTAAAAATGAATAACTGGAAAAACTGATTTCCAGGATACTCCAATGGGTAATAACAGTGTATAAGGTGATTGCAAAGAAAAATTAGTTATTTTTCATCAGCGTGTAGGCCACTGTGATACAAACTGCCCCAGGCAGTGGAGTCTAGGACAGACAGAAGGGTTAAAAAATAAAGGAGTGGAAGAAAAAAATGAATTGGAACCCAAGAGATCCCTGAAGCCAACTGGAGCAGGCGACTGCTCCCTAGGGTGGTGCAGCTGGGTGCTAATCACAAAGTGTGATTTCCATGAGCCCACATGGAAAATGGAGAAATTCCTGCACTCAGGCACTCTTTCTACCTCTTCCATGCTGCACCAAAAGCCTCTTGATGTCTTGTGCAAAGCAGAGTGACCTGTGGAAGTGTGAGGAGCCCTGCAAGCTGCGGGAATGCCTCCAGGACGGAATGGTGACCCCAGCTGGGCTCCAGCTCCTGTCCCTCCCAGCTGCACCCAGCCTGCAGCACAAACACACTGCTCAGCCTCAGTTACCTGTGTGGTCCTTTAGGTAATTGTCCTCTGCATCATTCAACGGGAGAACACAGCATTTACTGGATTACTGGCTCTGCACTGCCTTAAAGACACAGCTCAGTGCCCTGGGAGCCAGCTGCACTGTTGCAAAGCAACAAGCAAATATTCCTCTTCTCCCTCCCTTTTTGAGCTCCACAAGAAGGT